TTCTCTAGCCTCATCTTCTGACTCGTCCCCCAATCCCTGAACAGGGATGTCATTTCAGCTCTTGAAACATCAATTTCCTCCTCACGGCAGGGCCTTTATTCATCTTTGCGTCAAAGGTTCTTCCTGTGAACCCTTGTAGAGGCTTCTTCTCATCTTTCAAGTCTCAACTTAAATGTCCCCTCCGTGGAAGGGCCTTCCTTGACAGTGAAGTTCCTATCATGCACTAAGACTTCAGCTAGTTCCTTTCTTTCTGGCATGTATCACGACTTGAAAGTAATGCATGTGTCATTTATCTGTTAAGTTTCCTCACTAGACTGGAACTCCGTGAGGGAAAGGATCTTGTTTGGCATTTTCATCGCTTATTCTTCAACATTTTACAAAGGACCTGAAACGCAAGCATCCGTTTCGTATTTTAGAAATGGACACGTGAACGCAGCAAAGCCCCTGTTAACGGTTCCCGGACCCCTGGCCCCGCAGGTATCACCCAGAGCCACGCCCTCCTCGCACAGCTCGCCTGTTTCCCCTGCTCCAGTGAAGAGGACCAGTCTCCTTCCTGGCCGCTCTCCGACAGCTGTGCCGCACCCACGCCTGGCTCCCCACTGGCGGCACCGTCAGCCATTGCTCCCGAACTCGTAAAGTACTACAACGCAGGTAGGAGGTGCCCGGGTCTCGCCACGCTCTGGTCCAGAGGCCAGGACTCCCCAGACACCACGGACCAGCAGACCACCGTCAGGGCCGGATGTGGTCGCGCGAAGCCGGAAGTGGCCCTAGCCCTCGGTCCGCGTACTCTCTAGAACCGCAGGAGGCTCGGTATCTCGGTAGTAGGCTGGGGGAGCCAGCAGCGCCGGCTGTGAGGTTGGCTCGGAGGTCAGCGGCGAAGCTCGGAGTTCAGCCCTCTGGTTTGTGATTCTTTAGGCAATGAAGGCCTGGCGAAGGGGAAAGGGGAAAATTTCAAAGCCTAGAGCCGGGAGCAGTTGTCCAGGCAACCGCGCGGCCTGAAGCTTGGAAGGTGGAAAGGGCGGTGGCCAACACAAACGTCAGTGATTGGTCAATTCTGGGGCTATCACTCGCTCCGCCCCGATACCTGACTGGCTAAGAGCAGTGGGGGGGGCAGTGCTCCTGGACACCGTCCTGCTAGTGTTGGGGCTGTGTCCAGGGACGTTGGGGGCGGGTTAACCCCAGCACTGACTCCAGGCTTTGCTTCCCGCCAGCTGGGCCCTAAGCGCCTGCAGCAAGGACCTGGGGCCGAGCCAACAGGGCCCTCGCTCAGGCCGCAGGACAGGGGGTGAGAAGCCAAGGTGGAAATGTCCTGTCCACCCTTACCGTCCTCCTGACAGCACAAGTCAACGATAAACCAATTAGGTCAGATTCTCTAAAGCCTGGGACATAAGGGTGAGCAGAAGCCAGGATAAAGCGGGGCAAACCTCCGAGACTCTTCACCCTCTACCCAGAGAGACACTAGGATCCTTCTCTGGCTTCCTACCTTCCAGCCTCCCATCTCTCAGTGATGCCCTCCCCCACCTCCAAATTATGAGCACCCTTCAGCCTGGCATTCCAGGTCCTTCATGACACAGCCTCAATTCCTCCGTCTCGTTTGCTCTCATCAAATATTTCCCAAACTGCTAAGCTCCGCTCTTAAAATACTCCTGCCAGATCTGTCGAAGAACTGTGGCCTCTGGATGGATCGCTAGAAGGAGAAGCATACAAAAGCCCAGGGAGTGTCTCCATGGGAGAGTGCTTTGAACGCACTGTCCATGGGGCCCTTGAACCCGTTTGCACTCTGAGATGAAAGGGGAAACATCAGCTCAGCGCCTGTGGCTCAAGTGGCTAAGGCGCAAGCTACATACACCTAAGGTGGCGGGTT